CCCTGAGCTGTCTCCCTGTGCATAAGCAGCCCTTCCTTCTCCCATGATTCTTCTCTCCAGGGCGTGTGTCTACTTGAGGTAAATGTTTAACTCACATGCCTGTACTTTGTTTGGCTGGAAACCACAGGTGTGGGTTCAATTAAAACAATATTTTCTTGATATACAATACAAAAAATAAAATCACTGTGAAGAATTTTCCAGTCCATTTGCCAATTTCCTGTTTTGAAAATTATGCTTTATTAACACATAGATTTCTTCACTCAATGATAGCTGTGCAACCAGTAAGGATACCAAAACCAAAGCAAACCCACTGCTATCAATTGGATTCTGACGCATAGTGACCCCATTGGGTTTCCAAGGCTGTAAATTTTTGTGGAAGTAGATTGCCTCATCTTCTTCCTGTGGATCAGCTGGTGGGTTTGAACTACTGACCTTCTGGTTAGCAGTCACATGTCTTACCCACTATGCCAACAGAGCTCCTTAGTAAGGATAAGATGACTTTAAATTCAGCGTAGCACTTAAACAAAGAGCTGAAAAACTGAACTAGAGGAGACAATACAAAAGGAAAGTGCTGTTAGAGGTCAAGATAAAAAGATCACTGTGAGCATGTTCATCACCAGACTTAAAACTGTCTTATGTTGCTTGATTGCTGGCAAGTTCCCTTCTTACGTACTGGCTCAGAAGACTGTTTCCATATCAAGTTCACGTTTCCTTATCTGTAGTCACCATTTGGAATTACAAGGAGAGCCTAAGGGTGTAAATGCTTCAGTACAACATTCAGTTCATAAAGCATCAAATTTACTCACTTCTGGTGTTTGAGCAGTTGAATTCCACATCACTGGCCTCTGAAGAAATACCACCTGCTTTGTAGCCAAGTTTCCTTCGCTGCAAATTAAGACCACAGCATTAGGATTTGCAATTTAGTAAAACTATATATTATATACTAGATAGATTAGAATGTTCAACATGTATCCTTTGTAAAATAATCATCTGATCCCAAAACAATTGTGAAATATAATGCTATATAAGTTGCAGCTGGAAAGACAACCAAACTAAAACAAAACAAAACACTGAAGAATGTCATTACAAAAGAAAACCATTTTCAAGTTGAAAGACTTATAATCTTACCCCGCTATTACGATTCAACCTCTTCGTGGTCCTGCCTCCTCTTTATCCACATGTGTAGTTTTGCACATCTATATAACCACTGCATATTTACACTTTTGTGTTCTACCTTCCACTGGACATTCTTTCCTTGTTTATGTACTGTGATCATACTTTTAATGACTGCATAATATCCCAAACAACCGAGATACCAAAATATACTCAATTTTCTTTTATTACTGGAAAACTAGAGTGTTTCCAGTCTTCTGCTAATTACAAATAATGTTGCTATAAAAATGTGTATTTTTTAAAAAATGATTTATTTCCTTGAGATATATTTTCATGCATGGAATTATTAGGTCAAAAGAATATGACTTAACTTCTTGGTATGTATTTTCAAATTTGGCTTATAAAAAGAAGAGATGAGTTTTAGTTGCCTCATGTGAGAAATTTTATAGGCATTTTCAACTGAGGGATTGAAACTACAGCTAGTTTTATTTTCAGTTACTTCTTTGTAGTCAGCCACTCAGTATTCTTCCTATTTGACTGTCATCTTGGCAAATTACCCCTTGCCAAAGACTGGGGTTTGGATTCCTCTGAAATGCTTTTCACAGAGTCTCCGTGAATTTATGGGGAGGAGTGTCTATTGCAAATGTTGCTCAGTTACGACTTTTATTATGCAAAAAGCCCCAACAAAACCGTACTATTAGCTGTGGTTTATGCTGAGTTCTTTTTCTGGGAAACAAATGCAAGATTGAAAACTCTGGACCAAAAGGTATATGTCAGCACCATATGAAAATCCCCAAGCTTACAGATACCATTTGAATTTTGATAAACATCAAATCTCCCCTAAAGTGGGAAACTTTTTTTTTTTTTTTAGTTTTATTTATATTTTTAAAGACTGCTTTTATTTGAATCTCATTTTAGTTTGACCGTATTTCCAGTTAGAAAATTACTCCAGTTACTCTGGTAGCACTACGCTACCCGAGCTCCTATCAGAAGGAATACCAAAAGCCAACCAAATTTACTGCCATGAGTCGGACCCGACTCATAGTGACCCCTCCTTGCATTTCCTAGGCGGTATCACTAAGGAAGTTGATTGCCCAACCTTCCTTCCAAGGAGTGGCTGGTGGATTTGAACCGCCAGCCTTATGGTTAGCAGTCAAGTGCTTTAGGCACTAGCTACCAGAGTTCATCATAATGAAGAGTGTCCCTTAAATCAGAAAATCCACCAACAGTTCCTTTTAGTATTGAATGTGGAAAAAACATGATAAAATTTCTGGAAGTATCCTTGATATTGTACAAACAAACCTCAAAACCAAAGCATTTGGCATGACTGAAATGGCTGCCTCAAATCTAAATTAAATTCCATTTTGAATCAAACTACAGCTTGGCCTGAAAACTCTGCTTCTGCTGTTCTGAAGGGACAGTTCAGTTTCTTGTAAAAGTTTAACTGCTATAACCCAAAAGGAGCTGGGGACAAGATTTTAGCTTGTATGAGGATTATTTGTTAAAAGATGTTTTTCTAGAGTGTTTGTGTGGCTTGATTCAGGAAGAATGCCTTGGTCCACATGCCCCAGGAGGTTAGGAAATGGCAATAATAATGTTAAGAAGGATTGCAGTTTAACAACCCTTTGTAACATTTGTCATGTAATCCCTCAAGCCTGTGGGCACTGACACCTCCGTTTGTTCCACCCTATAAAAACTTCACTCTCTTCTTGCAATTTGGAGCATTCTAGAAAGTTGGGCAATCTATTTCCATAGTGATACCGCCTCAGAAGCCCCAAGAGGTGTCACTATGAGTCAGATCACACTCGACCACAATGCGTTGGGTCGCCTTACGTTAGTACCCTTCCTGGGTGCTAGTATGTCTCTTGATTGGCACATCGCTCTCATTTTCAATAAAAATCTTTGCTTTCATTTCTAACAAAGGATAAGACTGCTATTTTTTCTATGACAGCATCTAATTTGTTTCAGCACATCCTTCTAATAAATATGATACACTTTTTCAAACAATTTAGTCAGAAAGAAAAAACAAACCAAACACACTGTCCTCGAGTCAGATCCAACTCATAGCGACCCCTCTTTTCTGATGGGTTTGAACTGCTGACCATTTGGTAAACCATTTGAACATTTGACCACTGTGCCCTGGGACACAGCAGTTCTCCCCATAGGTCTATACTCTTGAGAAATGCACACATGTGTGCATGAGAATCCCTTCTCATGTGCAGAACAACATTATTCATCGTAGCCAGGAAACAATCAACCACCAGGAGCAGATTGGATAAACATTAGTAGAATGGATAAATTGCTATATACAAAAACATGGATAAATTTTACAAATAGTGTTAAGGGAAAGAAGTAACACATGAAACAATACATATGCTATGCTTCCATTTATTTAAGTTCAAATATAAGCAAAACTATATTGTTCAGTGATGCCTACATGAGTGGTAATACTGTGAAGCAAAGTAAGGAAGTGATTATCCTGAAAATTGCGATTACGGTTATGTCTGGATGAAAGGTGAGTGGAAGATGGTGAACACCTAAGGTGTTTCTAGGGTGCCAGCAATATTCATTTCTTATCCTCTGGTGATTTCACAGATATTTGTTCTGTAATTACGCATATATAAAACAAAACAAAACAAACTCACTGCTGTCAAGTTGTTTCCTACTCATAGTGACCCCTCCCTGGGTTTCTGAGGCAGTATCTCTACTGAAGTAGATTGCCCCATCTTCCTTCCAAGGAGTGGCTTTGGGTTTGAACCACCAGACTTCTGGTTAGCAGTCAAATGCCTTAGGCACTACGCTACCAGATCTCTCAAACATGCATATGCACACTTATATTTTATGTACTTTCTTATATGTATGTTTTATTTTATGAAAATTATTTTAAAAGAGTATATTCCATAGTGATACATGGGATAATAATTGTAGACTTATTCCTAATAAAAATGCTTCTTCCTTTTTTAACATTTATTTCTTGGGGAAAATCAGTCTTCAATTCTGTGGGTTTTAAATTAGGAGAAGTCTTTAAGAATTCATTCCCCTGAACTCACTTTTCTTTGAAAGTATCTTTTATTTTCTTGACTGTGGTATTGGTTAAGGTTGTCAGAGAAAGCAAATGATTTGGGATACTCATGCTTTGACCCTCCACCTTCCATGCTTACTGCAGACATCACTAATTGATCACCACATTCTATCTAGCTGTGTCTGGCTGTAGTCTCAGAATCCTCATCACAGTGTTTCAGGCAGCCACTACTAAAAGACTAGTGATGGTATGTACTATGAACACATTTGCTCTTCCTGGTTTATCTCATTAAAACAAACAAAAAAACCCACTGCCGTTGAGTTGATTCCAACTCCATTGGGTTTCCAAGGCTATAAATCCTCACAGAAGTACACTGCATCATCTTCCAACCACAGGGCAGCTGGTGGGTTTGAACCACTGACCTTCTTTCTGGTTGGCAGCCAAATGCCTTACCCACTATACCACTGGAACTCGTGATTCATCTCATTAGACCCCAGGAATACTTCTCCCCATTTAAAACTGCCTTTACAGACCTGCTCCCCTCCTCACTGATGTCCTCCACCATATTTGCCTGTCTTACATTTAATTTTATTCGTTATTGCTATGAGCCTTCTAGGCACTTTTTTTTTCTTAATTGCCTTCCACGCCATGACATTTTAATACCAAAAATATACAATACTGTAGATCTGTTTACGTATAGTTGCCTTTGGAGAGACAAAAACCAATGCCATATCTAAAATTTTTTCACTCCAATAACCAATTTTTGTTCCCTTGGTGACAATATCACCCTGCTGAGAATGCATGCTTATCCCTCCATTGCAGGACTTGTCATGATCTGTTCTGTATTACAGTTATTTGTGACTGTGTTGTCTCTCCAAGTAGATTATGAGTTCCTGGAAGTTAGAGTATATGTCTGAGCCACTTTTTTATCCCCATCTGTTGCCTTGCACATGGTAGGCACTCAATAAATATTGTTGAGTTGAACTGATAGAACATTCTGGTTAAAGTGAAATGCAAAACTTGGAACCAGTTTGGAGATAGCTAAACTGGTTTTAAACGATTGGGCTTATCAGTTACTTGTGAAATAAAAATACTCTTACAAAAAATTTCCATTTATGATAGCAAAATCCATTAGACACAGGAAATAGAGTTGTTAATTTGTATTTTATGATTCTTTTGCATAATCTTTACATTATTGCCCATTGCCATGGTTTTATGTTTGCAACTAGGAAGTTAATCAGGGTATTCTTGCTTTTAAAAAACAAAAGTCTGCTTTTTAAAAGCAAATAAAGATTTACTCTTCAAAAGCAAATGAAAATTTTAGAAGCAAAATTACAAAATTAAATTTTAGCTAATAACTTTTAACTGTGTGCTGAGTCACAAAATTCTTTTGCCTTGTGACCCTGATTTGTTTCTTAGTTATTAGTGTGTGGGTGTGAGTTAAAAACAAAAAAGGGCACTACCACAATTTAGCTCCTCCCAGTGCTCTCCCCAACAAATGGGAAAAATTAATTTCAGGTAATTATGGTGATGTTCTGGCTACCTAGTGTCGCTCTGACAAGAATATACCACAAATTGGATGGCCTTAACAAACAGGAGTTTATTCTCTTACGGTTTGGAGGCTTTAAGTCCAAGTTCAATGTGCCAGGCCCTAGGGGTTGGGTTAAAGCCCGTCAACCTTGGGCTTCCGCTCTGCCTCTGCTCCCGGCCCGCTGAAGCTAAAGGCATCTCTTCACTGAGGCAGCTACTG